GCTATTTGGTTGGTTGGATGACACCAGGTATGAGGTCTAACTCTACTCTTCCTCTGACCTGCAATATCTGTCATCGTGAGATCAAAGCACAGGGGGGCTCATATGTCAGGTCCATTATCTTAACAGTTGGACAAAGACAGGCAAGTAAAATGTACTATAAACTCACAGTTGTAAAAAGATATTCCAGTACATTAAATAAGTCAGAAGAAAGGGCAACAAAGTGTTAAAATACATCTTTACCATATTAAAAAAAAAAAATACAAATGTTTGTGGAGGGGAATGACACACATAATAACAACTCACCCATATACAGTCTGTGGCAGGACACCACAAATTATTACTTGAAACTAAGGTATACTAGCATCTCTGATAAAGTTTCTTATCTGTAAGATTAAGTAGCCAATCATTCTTTCCTCTCATTTTTCTTCTCTTTTGTCACATAAAGCCTGACTGTTAATAAGACATACAATATGGAAGTAAAGATAAGCAGCAGGAAATTATATCTTAAAGTCACTGTTAATTTGGGACTCAAGTCCAAAATTATCAGGTTATTTCTTTAAAATATTCTTTAGTTATGTGTGTGTGTGTGTGTGTGTGTGTGTGTACGCATGTCACATTCAAGCCTTAACTGCATCATTCTACCAAGCAAGATGCAGGAAAAGTCAATTAATTGCAGGGCTGGAAAGTTGCCCAAATTCATTGAGCATATTTATTGTTCCAAGAAGATTATTTCAGAGTACATGTCATTTAATTATGAAGTAATTGATAGGTGTCCCTTTCTAAAAAAAACCCCCAAAAAACAAAAGAACAAACCCAAACAACAAAACAGTGTACATACACACAAAACCCAACACACACCTAGAGAAAACTGAACAAGATAACAATATTAGCGACATAAATGGTAACAACTTTTTCAAGGACTAGCATGTGAAGCCCTTTATGACCTTCACTATATCATGGGTCATTGCAAAATAAGTGACTGGAGCTTAGACGCTCAACTTCATTAGTTTATGCGTGTTAAAAAATTCTCTGACTGCCAAAAAGAAAAATATGTTTCTGCCATCACTAGTGGAAGTAAAAGCATTCTTTACCATTTACAAACCCCTGAGGTAGTATTATATATAAAATAAGGAAGAAAGAAAAAAAAATTGGAAAGGATAACAGATCAACTTGCCCGTTTTCAAAGCTAAACAGTTCTGTCAAACCAGTCACCATTATGAAGTGCTTCCCCTTTCATTCAAGCATTACTGAGTAAAACAACTTTAAAGGGGGTTAAAAAAAAAAAAAAAAGTGTAATTTCAAAGAAGAAAGGACTCCGGAAGCCACCGTCATGGAAAGGATTTTGCTGCTGGGTATTCTGTGATGTGATTGTCACGTAGGCACAAGTCAAGCATGAACCTGTTCTTTCACACCAAAAGAGTTTTTGTTCTGTTAAATATGAGTATAGAAATCAATAAATGACCCATTTAAACCTTCTCTCTTACAAACACCCATATGCATATTTTTAAACATTAACTTTATGAACCTGAGACAGGAAGCAAGCTTCAAGCTACTGCAAACATAACGTTTTAAAGCTACCTATAAATGGTACTAAAAAGTAATCTAACCGTGCTGCATATCTTGTTTTTTGTGTATAATAAAGGAAATTATTGTTTCTATTCCCGCATTCTTCATGTACACTGGCAGATTTTAGTTAGCATCCCAGTGTCTCACAAAGACATCTGAAATCATTTCACTGCAAATTTTTCTTTCATACCAATTCCGTCGATCACTAATGCTGTGTCTAGTTCTTATTATTCAGGGACTCAGCTCACAGGTTCTTCAGCCCTGCCTTCCTTTCTGGTCAACTCTATGCCCATTCTCCACCTGGCTGTTGGCTAATGGAGAACTTTCTGCTGCTTCTGCAGCACTACTTTACCTGTTTTTCAGCACAAGCATTTTCATTTACTCTTTCTCCAAAATACACTTTGGGATTAATGGAAAAAATGAATGTAGTTACTGAACAAATGTTTTTTTAAATTTAAAATAAATAATTTAAATAATTTTATATATGCTATGTATTTTAATATATATATATGCTACCCCTATACATTAAGTAATATTACAACTTATAATGAATATTACACATCCTGCTCTGCTGTCATTACTGCACTGCAGCTCTCAGGATTATTCAGGAAGTAAAAACCACTTTCAGTGCAACACTTACCTCCTTTGGGATAATGAGATGGTGAAACACTAAAATCGATCTTATCCTTCAGATCTTCTTCATTCTCTTTCTCCCACTGCAAGCCTATCTTTTCCCAATAAGTCCAAGCCAGTTTCCTAGACATAAAATAAAGAGTTTTATACCATCATGCCCCCAAAAGAAAAACATTTTAAAATGAGACTTCTAGAAAATCTGACTTCTTAAATTCAGCTGGAAGGATGGGAAGTATTCCTGCCATTTAACCTAGGCATATAGTTGAGAGTTTGTACTTCTTTTGTACTCAGTGGACAGAGGTTACCGCTTCCAAAGGATAATTCTGTCTCTGTCTACTTCGTCTACTTACTTGAAGGTATCATAAAAGGGCAGTATAACAAAAGTTAATGAAGATAATGCTATCATTTCGGGTTTAAGAGAAAACAAACAAGCAAATGTGGTAATGTGGGTTTTTCTCCTTCAAGCAATACATCTATAAACACAGAAACATTTCCATGTATGACAACTATTTAGGGGGAACAAAAAAAGAAAAGAAAAAAAACCCAAAAAACGTGTTCTGCTTACGTATTTTCAGGAATTTCATCAGTAAAGCTGCCGAGTAATAAAGGGATCAACTTGTGAAAATAGGAGTATCTATCTTGTAGGTGCAACAACCATTCTCCAATGACAGTTGTTACAGCGTGCCGAACCTACATGGATACAAAAAGACTATTTTAAATGTGTCAGGAAAATACTAGGGAAAAAAAAAATTGCTTTCAGTATATAAGACTTGGTAAACTGCATCAAGAGTCTCAGAAGAAATTACAAGAACCCAGGATTTCCTCACTTGCAGCAAGCATCTTAAGTAACATGCAAGGTATCATGCTCCCTCTTGTGTTCTCACGCTGGCTTAGTTAAATCTTAGACTACTTGCTGCATAAAAGCACATCTCTGAGAGAAAGACAAGTTACAGATCTAACTCAGCAAACTCTAAATTTTCACGGTTAATATCTCTCTGAGAATGTAAGAAATGTACATTTCTCTGGAATTTGAAGCTTTCCAAGCACATCTCCAGAAGACAGTTTTCTCTGTTCACTATAAAGGAAGCCTAAACTAAATAATGTGAATACACCCACTCAATAATCAAAATATTTTAGTTATGATTAAGTTACACATTTTAAAATTACTGCCTCGGTTGCACCTTATAGGTGCAACCAAGGGACCAATACCATAAGTGTTTGTTAAGCACCTGAAAAGGCCATAGAATCAAGTCCCAGAGATTTGACAGAAGAATTGAAGACACCCATTAAAATAAAAAGGTGCCTACAAACTTCAACAGCCTGCAGAGTTAGACGGCAGCTAAATAGGTCACCAGCCTTGGTTTTGGATAGCTTTCAGTTGACAAAGCCTGTATGTGACATATTTACATATCTCAACTGAATGAACGAAACCTGAAAGTTGCGGGGGGTGAGGAAACACCAAAAAACCCACCCCAAAGCAGATTTAAAGTAAATCCAGGAGAAAAAAAAAGGCACACCTTGGGAATCTCATCAAACAATCGCTGGGCCAGATGAGACAGAACATCATCCACAGACTTTCCATTTCCAAACTGTATCACTGCTCCAGTAGCCTGAATTACATCAACACGAACTCTGTAGTGCTGGTGCGAAATTGTTTGCATTAAGGGTTTTATCAAAGATTCTGACTGCATATGGAAGTGCTCTGTTAGGGCAGAGAGACAGAAACTTCAGACGTGCCTTCCTCTACGCGGGTGACAGATCTTGAGCAACATGATATCCGTAACACTACGAACAGCGGCCTGATGAATATTGCCGCATTTATGCAGCATGCAAATTTAACTTTATACTATATTAAAGCCGAACACTAGCCCACATGCACTCCCCTAACCCCCTCCTCCCACCACTACCCACACGTTGTACGGCACAGCATCCATCCCTGGCATGGTTCTTCTCCAACAGATCCTCCAAGGCCTGCAAGGCGCACCTGTGCGGGTGTGTGCAACTTCTTCCCTCTCTTCCTCTCTCCTGTAACTTCCTACTGGTCCCTACCTCAGCCCCTGTCCCCCCAGAAGACTGCAGGCTCACATCAGCCCACCGCGCCCCCCCTTTGCCCATCCCTAGGCCCCACCTGGCACGGCCTGGGCGCAGGCCACGGCACACCTGCAACTTTCACGCCTGACCTCGGCATAGTGGTCGAGGAGGGTGGCCTGGAGGATGCGGATAACGTCGGTGAGGTAGGGGCCCACGGAGGCCCCGCAGCGCTGCAGCAGGAGGCTCAGGAGCTGGACGAGGCCGAGGCGCAACTCCTCGCTGGGCTCAAAGCCCTGCGGCGGGCAGAGGCGCTGGGCCAGGGCCGGCAGGAGGACGGGCAGCGCCTCGCCGGGCCGGTCGCCGCGGCTGAGCCCGTGGCAGAGGAGCTGGAGGGCGAGCTCCCGGCACCGCTCCGCCGCGTCCCCCGCCAGGCAGCGCGCCAGCGGCCGCACCAGCTGCGCCCCGAAAACCTCCTGCACCACGGCGGCCGAGAGCGGCCGCTCCTGCACCTCGGCCCGGATAGCCTCCAGCGCCCGCAGCCGAGCCGCCCGGCCGCAGTCGGGCTCCCGCAGGCAGCTCAGGGGCCGGCTCAAGGCCTGCGCCACTTCGGCCGCCCCGGCCGCCGCCATGTTCCGCCGTCGCCACGGAAGTGCGGCGGCGTTGCTAAGGACGCGCGAGGCTTTTACGACGGCGGGCGAGCGCTTTACGGCGAGGCCGAGCTGTGCGGGGCCGGGTTGGTCCCGCCCGCGACAGGGCGGGAGGGGACGGCCCCGCTGCGGCCGTGTCTGCGCCGCTCTGAGGGGACGCCGCGGGCCCCACAGCAAGGCACCGAGGCGGCAGGGCGGTAGTTTCAGCAGGTACGATAGCTACCAGCAAGAGAGGGGCCCGTTGTTCGCATCACGCGGGGAGAAAGGGACGCTAAACCTGAGAGAAACCCGCGGGTGGAAGGACTGAGGGGAAAGGCGAAGCGACCCGGCCCACCACAGCGCAGCACACCTGCTGGGGATGAGGGTGTTACCGTGTGGAAACTTTCACGTGTAACACGCTATTGGCATTGCTTTTCCCTTCTCTGTTTTTCTCCGGAGGGATCAATACTGCAGGGGCACCGGTTTCTGCAACAGCTTTACACAATTTTTAGTGTTCATTTGTATTACTTAATGTGTATAGATACTGTGCTTGTATTGTGCTTACACATCCTTTACACAACGTAACTTTTGTGTGCTATTCTGGTGACTGTGCAATCAACGCCCATCAAACAGAAAAGGTTGTTGGGGTCTTTTCCTTGACTAATCATACTCAGTTTAAAGTGCAATAAACTGCAGAACTAATTCATATTATCCTTTTAAAATAGCCTTGTATTTACCAGCATGGAGTTTATTCTCTTGTTATGCTGCTCCTAGCTTGACTGCGAACCTTTGGGGTCCTTATTCACCTTTTATTCTGTGGGAGCTGCGACCATGAATTCCCTGTGAACAGAGGAAGTATTACCGTCCGTTGGAGCACTGCTGGCAGCGCATGCCGTCACCTGGCCCAGCAAAGGCGCTGGCCTGTGGCCGAGTCCCAGCTGCAGCCACGCTCCTCACGGGCCTTGCAGAGAGGTGCTCCTGGGTGTGATGGCTTTGCTTTAAATACCCAAGCGACCGAGCTGGTGAGCTGCCCTGCCCAGCCCTTCCAGAGCTCTGGGGTGCAACAGGCCTGGCAGCTTGTGTGCCACAGAGAGCACTGGGGCTGCCGTGCTCCTGCCTTGACTCACCAGCCCGTCCCTCATGGCCAGGCCTATCCTTTGTGGCCAGCCCATCCTTCATTTCGTGGCCAGGCCATCATCCTTCATGGCCAGCCCGTTCTTCCTGGCCAGGCCACGTTTCATGGCCAGGCCATCCTTTATGGCCAGCCCGTCCTTTGTGGCCAGGCCATTGTCCTTCATGGTCAGGCCACCTTTTACGGCCAGCCCGTTCTTCCTGGCCAGGTCACGTTTCATGGCCAGCCCATCCTTTGTGGCCAGGCCACCTTTCATGGCCAGCCCGTCCTTCTTAGCCAGGCCCGTCCTTCGTGGCCAGCCTGTCCTTCATGGCCAGGCCATCATCCTTCACAGTCAGGCCACCTTTCACGGCCAGCCTGTCCTTTGTAGCCAGGCCATCCTTCCTGGCCAGCCCGTTCTTCCTGGCCAGGTCACGTTTCATGGCCAGCCCATCCTTCATGGCCAGGATATTGTCCACGGCCAGCCCATTCTTTGTGGCCAGGCCACCTTTCATGGCCAGCCCATCCTTTGTGACCAGGCTGTTGTCCTTCGTGTCCAGGCCGTCCCCTGTGGTGAGGCTTATCCTTCGTGGCCAAGCCCATCCTGCACGGCCAGGCCGTTGTCCTTCGCGGCCATCCCGTCCTTCGTGGCCGGGCCTGTCCTTCAAGGCCAGCCCGTCCTCAGCGCGGCGGCGGGGCCGGCCGTGCGGCGCGG